CGCCCACAGAGGTCAGAAGAGGCCATCAGATCCCCTGGAACTGGGGTTATGGACAGTTGTTAGCTGCATTGTGGGTGCTGGGATTCGAACCCGGGTCTTCTGCAAAAACAACCAGTGTTCTTAACCACTGAGCCATCTCTCCAGCCCAAGCATTTTTTTGATTTATTATTTTTATGTGTATGAATGTTATGCCTGCACATGTGTAAGTACCTCCATGCCATAGAGTGTCTGCACAGGACAGAAGAGTGTGTCGGATCCCCTGGAACAGGCGTTCTGGACATTTGTTAGCTGCCATGTGGGTGCTGGGATTTGAACCCGGGTCTTCCATAAGAGCAGTCAGTGCTTTTAACTACCAAGTCATCTCTCCAGCCCCTATAATAAAGATTTTTACTTTCAACTCAACATATTCATTTTTCTGTTACAGTGTTTGTTTTACAAGACTATATGGTAAACTATTGTGTTTCCACTGCTTATTGTGGGGGTCAGAACTCACTAATTAGTATATACCCATCACTTAGCTCAAAATATAGGATTTACTATTTGTCAATACTAATCAAATGAGTAGAAATGTTACTGTGACTGAACTCTTTTCCATGCACTTCACATTTGGAATCAGACACACACTCACAAATGCACACACTCATGCACACACATTCACAGTCACTCATGCACACTCACAAATACACACACTCACACATACATATTCACAGGCACTCACGCACACTCACAAACACACACACTCATACACTCCCCATACGCAAACTCACCCACTTCCCCCACACACACAAGCACACATACACACACATCTGAAAGTGTGACACCTAGAAGTTCGTGTTGAAGACTAGTTCACACTGTAATAGTGAATGTTAGACAGAAGGCCTTCGTCCTCATGAACAAGCCAATCACCTTACAAAGGACTCCTAGACTGCTTCTCTTGTTCTTCTCTCCTTCACTGTGGCAGCCTAAACTTAGCCTCTCCACAGGGCAAAACAAGAACATTGGAAGCAGAGAGCAGTCTTCATCAGACACCAAATTCTTGAGAGCCTGATCTTTGATTTGCCATCCTTCAGAATCTCTGTGACCGCAGAAAGAGACTGCTCAGCTCACTTATCAAACACCTCTTGTGCTGCTCCTGGTGTTGCCACTTGGGGTCCGATAAAAGGCTTTTCTAGTTTTCGTGGTTTATTTAACGTGTGAAAAAAAAAAATTTTCTTAGGGGTGGTGCAATGGCTCAGTGGTGACGAGCACTGGCTGCTCAATAAAAGGCTTTTCTAGTTTTCGTGGTTTATTTAACGTGTGAAAAAAAAATATTTTCTTAGGGGTGGTGCAATGGCTCAGTGGTGACGAGCACTGGCTGCTCTTGCAGAGGACCTGGGTTTCCTTCCCAGCACCCACATGGCGGCTAAGAGCCATCCAAACCCCATTCCAGGGGATCCAACACCCTCTTCTGACCTCCACGGGCATTTCACGACATAGATGCAGGCAATACACACATACACACATAAAATAAAGACAGTAAATAAAATATTAATTTTCTTAAAGTGCATGCATGTGCACGTGTGTGTCCATACCATGGTGCATATGTGGAGGTCAGAGGACAGCCTCAGGTGTCTGTCCCACGTTCCTCCTTGTTTGAGGTAGGGTCTGTTACTGTTTACTGCTGTGTATACCAGGTATTCTAGTCACCTTCTCTGTTGCTGTGATAAAAAGATTGGCTGAGGGGTTGAGGGATTTAGCTCAGTGGCAGAGCGCTTGCCTAGCCCTGGGGGGGGTTCGGTCCCAGCTCCAGAAAAAAAAAAAAAAAAAAAAAAAAAAA